GTTTTCGGTTCCACGAAATTTGACGTATTTGGTAGATCCGGTCATCCGGATGTTTTTTTTATCACATTTATTCTGACGGGTCCGGGAAGTTGTTGTTGTTACCATTCGGATTGGACAACAAACACTACTGCATTAGTTTTTGCGCCGCTGTTCGTGCCGCCGTGCTGTACGAGCGCCGGACCGAGTGTCCGGTTACAGACGGCGAACCTCTATAAAGTTTTTATAGTCTCACTCTCCGCGCCCTAACGCTTAAACATTTTTGCACAAGTCGAGACTGTAAGAGAGCTCCCCCCGCATTGACGTTTCTGAAAGGGGTTGAAGCCCTTAATGAGGTGGTGAACTTTTTAGTTTTGTGGGCCTGTTTATACACGCCTCATACTAGTGTACATTGGGACAAGTAGAGAGCCGGCTTCGGCTTCGGAAAAATTGGTTAAAAGCCGGCTAGTAAAGCAAACCGGCTTATAGCCACGTAGGGATAAATTATGCACATAGAAGTTCAGTTCCAAACAATATGTTTTACTGTAAAAAAACCCATTTTTTTTTCATTTAGAGTTTATTGTAAACGGAAATGTTTCAGCACGGACTATCTTAAACTACGGAATGTAAAAGAAAAAAGCGATCCAGATAGGTAAATAGGTGATAGCTTTCTAATCACCCCCCCCAAACTCTTACTTCTAGCTTTGTTGTTCGTCTGTCCTTAAATTGTCGAGTTGGATTAGACAACGGAGAGAATAATTACTGGAAAGTATAAGTACTCTGTATTGTCGAGGAGGTGAGGATGTTTGGTTCGGTGTATCATCACAGAGTTACAGTGAGGGGAACTTGTACTGCCGTATTATGAAAAAGTTATTGATCGATGTTGTGGAGGAAACTGGGAGCCTACCCTGTCTCAGTCTGCGCCTACTTTTATTTAATTGTGCGCAACAGGAAAACTTTTTCGCAACTAAGTTAAGCTTTGTTGTAGTTATCCTACAGAGAAAAGAAAATGCACTTGACTTGGAATTAATGTACTGTGTGCATTCAAAAGTGCTGAATAAATGTTTTATGGACCCATAATAGTGATTATTATTTAAGTTAAGTTTTGCCATAATCATGTCTTTTTCCATAATCAGGTAGCTGAACAACATTGGTAAAAAAAAAAAATATATATATATTTCTATTAATCATTTTCGGCCATTCGGTTTTCGGCCAACTGTTTCCTATTTTCGGTATCGGTTTCGGCCAAGAATTACCCATTCGGTTCACCCCTAGTTATTAATTAGGCAAAATCACCTTCTTTTTAAATGGTTGTCTTTTGTTCTTTAGTCATAAAATTACACCTTGAGGCAGTAAGTCTTTCTGTTGATAACAATAGCACGACTGCATTTTGAATATGGCCAGCTGTAGCATTTTTACCTTACAGACTGAATAAGATGTACAAAATGTATCAAAGATGATTATATTTATTATTCAGATCCATTTTAATCAGTCATAAATGATCAAATTAGATTCTTGTATTTTGGCAGTCAATCACATCCATTATTTTTTTTAATTATGGCTTGATTATTTACTTCTTTGTAACAGAAGGATCCTCAGTATTATATGTTATGTGCATACTAATTAGGTTAAATGCTGCATTCGTAATAGGCCATCAGTAATCTTGTCCCTCTTAGTTGAGTCATTTGTTGTTGGGTCTTAGTCGAATAAGATTTCTTTAGTTGATAAGTAAACATTTTAAAATGCAATTTCATCCTGAATTAATTGTTTCTAAAAATACAAGATTCAGAGCGTGATACTTCGTGGAGGAACTCAGTTTTAAATATTTGTTGAGTAAATCAAAACTATTGGATGAGACTCTTTAGTCCACAGCCATAGCCATCAAAGTGTTTATGAAAAGTGGGACCATTTAGAGTAAGACATGGGATGTATTCCTTTTATTGCACTGCAGCAGATTGTATTGTACATTATCATGGTTGTTCTTTTTTCCTTTTACAAAGCAATTATAATTCTGTTTCCATTCTCTCATCATAATCATCTCCCTGCTCTGATGAAAAGCAGCAGTCTCTTGTTGTTTGCTGAGCTCAAGCATGAACCATATTTATTGTAGCCTTTAAACAGCACATTGAGTACTACCTACATGTAGTTCCATACATGAGAAAGCATCTGAAAGATGCTGAGGTATTATTCAGATGTACCAGCAGGATAAGGCAGCTACCACAGTAAAATGGTAATGTGACTCCTGCCCAACTCATTACAGTCTTCACTGTGTTTTCCTTCATCTTGACCGAGCTCGCTCTTATGTCCTTAAACAACCAAGGAAAATGACTGGTAACACAAAAATGCTCAGCTGCAGTTTATCTGCTGTTGCAGAAACATGACATATCTTGTTTCCTGCTTTACCGTGAAAGCCAACCGTACGGGTGTTATTGTGAAGCAGCTTCTTGCAACCTTAGTCACGGTTGTTGACAACTGCTTAGTCCTTTGTGCATAAAAAAAAGGTCTGTACCTTTTTAAAACATTTTAAGTGCTTTTGCTTTGCCAGTGGATCCACATTTAATATTACAGGGTGGACTTTTATTACATTTTGGCAACATGAAACCTTCTGACACATGCATGCTTTTCTGAGCCTTTATTAATAAAACTGTTAATGTATAAACTGCACCCTTGCAAACACGTTCAATCACTACATTATCTCTTTGTTTCTCCCCATACCCTTTTGATCGGTTATTACAACGTCTGACGATTTTTCAGAGAATTTATTATATTAAACTGTCAATGACGATTTATCATAACACATTTTACCGACAAATAATTGAAACTAACATACCACGGCTAGTACTAATACATACCGGAACGAATCATTTTCCTAGTTGTCTCCGCTATAGATCGTCACTCCCTGATCATTCTTGTTCACTGTCACAGACAATTTATTTGTGCTGAGAACTGTTTATACTACTTCGCGTAAGTTAAGTTCGAATGAAGAATGTAAATTTTTGTATGTTGTAAAAGATTCCTACACATCTTTGGGTCAAACACAAATTGGTTTCGGTCA